GTGGTTCTCTCTTCACTTAGAGTGATGATCTCTCCAACTGTTTTAATTCAATTAATTAAAAGTATTCCTTAATTAAAGATCATAATATTTTATTGTCTTCTCATGATTATGTGCACTAGCATTTTATATTAGACAAAACACGAAAATAACCAGATTTTGTAAAAACACCTCTGGTTTGGCAGTTTTGTGTATCTCCAGGCACTTTTAAGCCTCTTTTAACTCTCTTTGCTCTCGCCTCAAGCAAAGGAAGATTATTCTAAACAACATTATCTAGCTTCAATCACGGCCCTACCCTCACTGTTCAGTTTCCTCAGACTAGCCTGTATTAAATCACGGCTAATACTAAACAAACCAATCAGAGTCCTGCAGCTGCTGCTGCTTCACAAGAAAAGATTTGTACCGTGGTGGCCTTTGTCACGTAGGGCAGACTGGGATTGTTTATGACTTATTTGTTCATGACTATATCAGAATGCAGTTTCTCTGTTCATGGAAAATAACTAACCAGGATGTAAACTAATTGTAATGTGTTGCATTTAGGAAGTAACACTCATTTGGATTAATCATCCGTTTGCTATAATAAGAACTGTACACCACTGGTGTACAGTAGGGGATTTTTAATGTTCCAGTAGCTAAATGTATTTTAGCTTTTTGTCTTTTTTCCAAGTAAACTTGAATTTGTTGGAAAGACAATTATTACCGAAGGCATCATACCATCTTTGTGAAGTTTACCCTGATGGGAATTGCTGATTATGATTGGCTCTGAAAGGAAGATGGGATATTTTAAGCAATTTAAAAAGGTGTTGTTCATATATTAATGTTGTTTTTGTGATTTTGTTTTCTTGGAAGATGCACTGAGCTTGAAAAAAGTCTCAGTTTCATTCTCAGCTATTAATCTCCGACTTTCCTCAACCAATCATGGAGCTTTCTTCATGTCACTTCCCCCCCTTGTAGGGCCTCATGTTCAACTTTAATTATTGTGAGCGGTCTGGTGGAAAACCATTTTTTTCCTTCCAGCTGACACAGCAATGACACCCCCTTTGTTCCTCTTTCTGACTGCTTCTGCTGCATTCCTGCCCTGAATTAGTTTCCTGTGTTGTTGGTGGATTCTAACCAAAATCCACTTCCCGCCTCTTGAAGATTTTAAGGGTACCATTGTGAGGATGACCAAATAGTTTCTCAGAAGTCAAAGCATATTATTGTGTTTATTAGTCAGTTCAATCGCAGTTTTTGGGGAAGTCTGTATGTTGTATGAGCATTCTGCTTACTGACTGTAGTCATTAGCTGTCTGTTCTGCTCTTCCTTTGAGCTTGTTTGCTTTGGAGCTGTAAGTGGTCCTAAATTGAAAATAGATTATATTGTTGATGCTCCCTAGGATAACAGTGGACGGTTTGAACTGAGTCAGAGTAGCTCAAAATGGTTGCACACAAGGGGTATCTCTTTCCACCCTAGTTTATATTCTTCTACACTAAAAAGTCATAAAAATCTGTCTTTATTCTTTATAAAAATACAAATTTTGCCCCTCCTCATCTACCTTTGAATTATTTAATCAAACATAAAGGTCTACATTTGGCATCCACTGAGGAGGTCGTCTTTAAGGCTTCAGTTTTTCTTTGACTCATGAAATCATGAATCAGGCTTGCTCGGGTTTATCCTCTTGCTGTGTGCAAAGCCTCAGCATTCCAGTCTCATAGCAAGCTCTAATCTGCTTGTTGCTCTGGCAGATAAGTGAATTTTAAGATGCCAGGCAAAATAAACAGCTCTGAGTTACGTTAGGTGGTCTGACACTTAAGAAGATATCCTTCTGTTCTTCCTCTCATATATACAGAAAGCAAACTGTCGGCACTGTAAGCAGTGACTCATGACTTCCCTTGGAAATGGGTTAGTTTTAAGCTTTATATAGAGGAAGATGCTTTTATCTTACTCTTTGGTTGATGGTGAAGGAAACACAGGGGGGATTTCAAGATTTTTTGTGTGTGTGTGTGTGTGTGTGATCTGAAGCTCTGATCTCTATGAAACCTGAGGAACAGCTCATATTTAGCTTTGAATCAGATCAGCTGGGCTCATCAAGTGGACTGTAATTGATTTTCTCCACGAGAGCTGAGGAGGTAAGACTGCTTTTCCAGCCGGGTATGAAAGTAATTCCCTGCTGTGACTTGAGGAATGAATGATTAAGGGGTTTGAAAATTTTCAACATAATTTATGTGTTTCTGTCCGCTTTACTTCACGTTGGCGCAATTACATTAAAAATGTTTAAATTAATCCTAATTCAAATTGGTTTTATTCACATATAAACATATTTGATTAAATTTGTCTTTGAGCATTAAAAGAACCTCTAGTAGACCCAGAATCAGGATTGCAAGACATCTGCCTTAACATGTAGTGAGTTATTATTTCTGTAGAAAACAATACACATGTGAGCTTTAAAAGTTTTAAAAATGACTAATCAGAAGGGAACCTGGATGTAGGTGTTTACTTATAGTTAATCATAATGCATTCAGAATTAATGTTCCCTTGTAAGGGTCTAATTAGAGCGTCATAGACTATCTATAAAGATAGATTGATCAAATCCAATCTGGAGGTGTAATTAAGTGAATCAGTTAAATTATTATTCCACAAAATCAATTCAAAAGAAAGCAGTTTTCTTTTTCACAGCCTGTGAAAAGCAGCCATAAAAGGCATCTGAAATTTGACTTGCTTCATCTGAGAGTTGACAGTTTGAGATCTTCCTCTGATGAGTTGTTTATGCCGTGCCCAATCCCATTTTCACTGGGAAGGAGCCATCAGTGCAGCATTCAGGCCAGTTAATTACAATAATTACAAATCTCAATTATCTGTGTAGTCAATCGTTGTCAGATGACATAGATTTAATGTCATTAATTTGGAAATACTTGCTTTCTTTTAATGTAAAATCTTTGTGTGTTATAGACATTCATTTACAAATCTAATAATAAATACTAAATCTAATATCCTTGATAAAACAGACACTGATTGGAACATGTTTTAAATAAATTTTTCACAGATCCAAAGGGATTTGCTAAACAAATTATATGATATATACATTATGAATAAAAATTAGATTTATTGATGGGTGACGAAGTGAAGAACAGATGGTTAGAAATGGGTGTGGTCAGTTGCCATGTACAATTTTAATGACATCAGTATATGTTGGACCATTTTGGTTTACATTACTGTTGTGTAATTATCTTGAAATTTATGTTGATTGAACCGCCGAGTTTACTATGAATTCATTTAAATGATTCATCCAATTTGAAGGCTTTTAAAAATTATTTTCTTAGATGACGAGAGCAAAGATCTCCAATTTCATTTTAACAATTTTGTCAGTGTGTTATCTGGATATGACGGCTGACACAACCTTGGTTTCCCTTTACCCACTTCCCTGTGGACATATTTCTGTTGGAGTTAAGCTATTTCATCAGGTTTGACGGACAAACGTATTTGCTTTATGAATAGAGCAGATCTGTCAAGCTGCCATCCGCCTGCTGCTGCAGTTAGCAGCCTGATTGATTTAGATGTGACGTCCCTTGAGAATGACATTCTCTCATCAATGACACAATTCCCTTTTTCCCCCTCTCCAACCTCATCCATCGCTCCAGTCTATTTTTTACTCGTCTCTCTCCCTCTATTTCCATACTTTACCCTCATGCCCCATCTCCCCTCTCTCTTCCACACCCTTGAGCACAACAATCAACAGCATTGACTCAGGCATTTTGAAGGACACCAGCAGTCGATATGTGCCAGAGGCATGACGATTACAGAGGAGTGCTTATGCTTATCAATAGCAGATGGTATAATCCTGAAAATGTCACCTGGCTGTCAAGGCTTTGATTTAATAGCAGTAACCTTTTTTTTTTAGTGACCGATTTTTATTAGTTTTTAATTTGAAGCAAACCTCACAGCTATTCTGAAACGAGAATATGTACCAAAAATAATCCTGAAAAATTCACTTTATTTTAAAAACTCAATTTTGGAATTTTTCTGTCTTTATTTTGCTGAAGCCGGAACAAAGCTGGAGGCCAGTTCCCTCTGGGTGGAACCTGTTACGTCTACTTCTGTCACTTAGAATGGCTTTTGCTGGAACGAGGCTGATGGCACAGCTGGGGGTAAATGACACCGCTTGAGCAGGGAGGCAGGAATTCTCCAGCTGTCTTCTTATCAGCTCTGCCACAAACCTCTACAAATACAGAGTAGTGCTGAAGGTGTGGGCGATAGGTGGTGGTGGTGGTGGTGGGGGGGCATCAGACAACAATCGGCAAATGTGAGGAGGAGCGATATCTCACGTCCACACTGGCCGGATCTCATGTCATATGCATGCAGGAGCATGTATCGTACATCAGTGCCAGGGCTGTATCCAAGCACTTTGAAATGAGAAGGTGTAAAACAGCCTCATTCTAGAACATCCGTCCTTTGAAGACTGTTTTAGACCAAAGCCTTTCGTTCGCTTCTTGCCACTGCGCTGTATTATATTCACCTCCAGTCCTGTTGGCTGTGACACAAAGAAGGGATGAAACCTGTTAAACATCCCCACTTTTAGACACTGGCCCTTCTTTTTAATCTGTGGGGTGACTGTTCATCCTTGTGAGTTCACAGAGTGGAATACTATTTTCTGATAAAATAATCCCTCCTGCGGGTCAGGCCGGGTATTTCTGATATTGGTGTCCCTCCCCAGGAGAGTCAGACGCGCAGCCTCATAGACACACTCGTCCTTATCGCTGCCTCCATATTGTGATTCCGATGTGGAAGGAGGACTGGCACAAAGACCTGCCTCACATGATAATTGCTCAGCGCTTTGTTCCGAAAAAAAAAAAAAAAAAAAAGCCCCTCTGGAACAAAAAGCGATGACATTAAGAGTGGGTTAATTTCTCCCTAGTTCTGTTTTCTAAAGAGAAAAATGTTTTATTGTGTTAAAGTACGTGAACTCTAACAGTGGAACAATATAAGTAAAAATATCTCCTAACTAACTTTTTCTCTTTTGGTCAACAGGTGGATGGGGTTAGCTGATCTCCACAACCCATCATGGAGCTCAACCACTGGGCATTCTCTAATCCCCAAATCCCCTGTCCGAGCAGCTTTTTGACCATAACACCTTCCTGTGTGTGATCTGTGATACCTGGGGCCCGCATGCTGTGGAAATCATGACACAGATGGACTACAAGTACAGCCTGCTGGGCTCCACTGTGGACGACTACCGCAAAAGGCCACTGGTTCTGCAGGTGGATGATACGCCCATGAACCTGTTTGCAGTTCTGGAGGTGAAGCGGGAGCTGCCCAAGCGCTGGACAGCCCTGGGTTGTTTCCGCAAGATCCGTCTCTACGGCTTCCTTTTCGGCATGGCGGTCATGTTCCTCATCATGGCTTCGTATATTTTGACGGGGGACAAAAAGGGCCTGCTCCTTACCCCCTCCCCTTACCACTTCAGCAGCCTGGTCAGCCCCGGTCCCTTTACCTTCAACCTCTCTTCGGTGAAGGACTACGCTCACATTAAATTGGTAGTCAAGTCCATCACATCAAAGGTGGAGTTTGGAAGCAGTCGGCAGCTTCCAGAGCTTAAAGCGTTGGTAAAGAGTGATCAACATGTGAGTAAAATCAAAGCGTGTGCTACTCCAGTGTGGCCAAGTTTGATATAGTCAGACAGACCGGAAGAATAGATAGTGCTAAGAATATTTCCATGTTTTATTATACAAGCTTTTAATGTTATCGCTATTTTAATTACCAAATACTGTACGTCCCTGCACCATCCCTATCTCTCATTTAAGCTTGCTGATAAAGAGATGCAAATTGGTATTCATCCCTGCATGGAAAAGGAAAAAATTCTACTTAAAAACCACACACATGTGCCCACATGAATAGTTTGACTTTTTCAAAGGAGATGCAAAGCTCAAGGTCTACATTTCCTTCCAGCGCATTTTCCCTGTGGCTCCCTGACAGTCCATTTCATTTCAAAGCCTAGTTCAATTAATTATTAGTTTTAATTATAATGGCTTGTGCCAACCTATTTGCAACAAAGTTAATTTCTTATTGAACATGTTCATGAATAAGAAAGTGTGGTCTGGGTACAATCAATGCTGCATAGCCAGTTGGGTTTGATATCAATTGTCCTTAACTTTGCTATTAAAATGATCTGCTTCAATGTTTGATCAAATAGCAATTTAAAAGATTATCTTTTTCTCTTGGTACCATTGTGATCTTTTACCATTTAAGATACTATTTGAACCCTGAGTCTGAAATGCAATCTTTGGTTTTTCTGCATGGACTGGCGACCTGTCCAGGGTGTATCGCCTCTCGCTGTTGTCAGCTGGGATAGGCTCCAGCTATGATAAGGGAAAGAGATTTTATAGATTGCTCTGATAACATGAAGAGGGAGTGCTCTGTTTAGAAAAGATTTTTTTTTACAAGATTGTTATGTATTCACTTGTCAGCATGCCTCGGTGGCCAAATTATTCAAAACTGGCCTCTCAGGCTGCTTTATTCTGCACAAACTCCCACAGTGTTTGCCTTCTGGACAGATTTTGAATGCAAAAAAAAAAAAAATCCAACAAACCTCTTTCTTTTTTGTGTATTTGAAGTCACCGGAATGTTTTTTGGATTTCATGGTGCAGCATCTATATCTGGCATGTTTTTTTTTTAAATGAGCCAACAGTAGAGTTTGATGCATTCTGTTTTCTTTGCTTTTCAGTTGTTTTCTGTTATTCCACGAAAATTCCTGCCTGGTATCAAAAACCCCTGCTGGTATGAGGAATATACCAGGAATAGCACCTCAGATCCATACAGGACAAATTTGTATGGGCGCTATTCGAGACGCTTCCGGACTGTTTTTCAGCATTTGAGGAGCACCTTCCATGGACATCTGTTTCATCGCAACAAAAAACTGTACCGCATGCGATGCCTTCCTTTTTTCTATATTATTGGCCAACCAAAGTGTGGCACAACAGACCTGTATGACAGGTTAAGGTTGCACCCTGACGTCAAGTTCACCACTTTCAAAGAACCACACTGGTGGACCCGCAAAAGGTTTGGTGAGTAAAGAACATTCAGCTCCCTGTGCCGGGGATTTCATGCTGGTTTACGATAATGACACTCTTGAGAGCATTGTTAATGTCACTACAGTTTGTAACTCGGGCAGAAGTATTGTACGAATTTCAGACAATACTTAATGCGACCATTTTTAACAAAAATGAATATTCTTATACTTAGAAATATTGATTTAATACAATAATTAGATGTATTGACAAAACTTTAACTGATATATTATGTCTGAAATAAGGTGCCAATAATTTCCTCTGATTTTCAACATTTTATTTGTAATGTACCAAAGACTAAACACACCCACCTCTTCTGTGAGCGTTTAGTTGCTTCACTTGCTCTTTGTAAACCCTCATATTTTAAACTCCTAACTTAAATGGCTGTTGTGCAACCATGCATTATTAATGTACTCTACAAATCATTTGATTCAGTAATGGAGCTGGTGCATATTGTGCCTTTAGAGGTGCTTGTGTAGAATGTTACTACCTCAAAATGTTCCCTAATTTAGCCATTGGAGATGTAAAGATTATGAGCAAATCATCCATGTCATTCTTTCTATAATTCTTATCAAAATTCAAAATACTGCTGCCACAATTCTGACTTGGCATTGAAGGAGTTTGAACAGATGGCATCCAAGTCATTCACTCGAGCAGAGCCACAAACATTGGATGTCGAGAAAGTGTTGCTTCACAGTAGACATCTGGCTGCATGGCAGTTCAGTCATTTAAGTGTGGCTGCCATTGTGGCTTTTACCACATAAGCATCTGTGATGTTAAAAATACAGGAAACTAGCTCAGAGCCAGGCGAGATTTGCTACCGAGACTGTATTTGCTTTGAACACCCAAGCCCTTTGTGTCAAGCTGCATTAACACAACATTCAAATAATGTTTAAATTACATTTGTCTGATAATGAGGACAAATAAAATAGTTCAAAATAGGCCGTATTTCTTGTCACTAAAAAAAAAGAACCAAAAAAACATCATTACCAATATATGTTTTTTTTTCCATTTATAACTTACACACTCATTAAGACTCATGAATAATGGAGAACCCTCTACAGCTCTAGAGGCAGGCTGTGGTAGTGTGAGTCAGTGTGTGTGGGTTATTTATGTGAGTCTGCATTAGTGAGGAAATGTTTTATAGAAGAAAGACAAAGAGCAACAGGGAGGGTGTAGGCCACCGTTCAGCCTCCCACCCACAGCTGTCTCCAGTCTTCTCTGATTGTAAAATCAAACAGAGATTAGAAAATTGCTCAGTTCGGACATGTTTACATATATTGTTTAAGTAATCACACAAATGTCCTGTTAGAATATCAGCTGTATGGAATATTTCAAAATGAATTCTCATTTGACAAAGTCATTTCTCACAGTGGATCGCACCTATTCCTCTGAATACCATTTGCTTGGAATTTTAATAAATTCATCCAGGTTTTTTGGTTTATGTCATGCCAGGGGGGTACCTACAATTAGTGTTTCATCCAAAAATAAAATGAAAAATCTCAATTTTCATTGCAGCTATCGAGAGGCTTGACAGTTGGGGCTAAGCAATCCCTTTGAAGTTCCTCCAGTTGCTGACTATGCCTCTAATCCTGACGACACTTTCCAAACCTAATTGGCAGATTGATCAGCGTGCATGCGCCATATATTTCAATGTGCGTTTAGTCCGAGTTGATAACTATTAGTGGATGCATTGTTTGCCTCAATTTGCATGCATCAGTGTTATATTTCTGCAGCTTAAGTGTTGCAGATGTGTCTCAAGGACACAGATTCCTCTCAGTTATTGTCAGTCTTCATTCCTCCTGCTTTCATGTTGGTTGTCACTTCCTCTTTATCCCCTCCAGACCCGTACCTTGGGTAATACACTGGTAATCAGCACTTTCCTCGTAAGACATCCGCTGAGAACACGGTGAATTCAAATGGCCTTGTTTAGTATTTATTTATTTCACTCCCCTCGAGGCTCCACTCAGCTGATGCATTGCAAAGGTGATTTGATGCGATCCGCGCCACATAACTTTCTTAGAGGAGCAGATTGAATTTTAAGCAGATGTGTCAGCTGTGTACAGTTACCATCAACAAACCCGGCATACTTTAAAACTGCTTGACTCTTAATTTATATAAAAAAAGCAAAGGGAAAAAACCCTCAAGGGAGACTCACAAGAGCCATCACAACTCATACGTGTGTGACTGTGGACAAACAAAGATGCCAGCTGGCTGCATGCAGGATTTACTGGACTTTTCTAATCACGTTTCCCGCAAACTTAAGAGGACTTTTTCCTGGGACACCATCAAAGCTTTACTGAAAGTAACAGATGCCTGAGTTACCTCATTATGCATATGATCCATATGTACTCCAAAGTCCAAACATGTACAGTTTTCTTGCAAATTGAATTATTCTATGCGTAACCACAGCTCAGATTGAATACAAATGTGCTATTTCTGATTTTACCTTTAGTCACCGACTGGAATAACTGTAAAAGAAACACAAAACCCCCCCCAGAAAAGACAATATTTTCCCCAGGCTCACTTTTAACTTAATCTGAATTTGGATATCAAAAGGTCACATTGTAGCCACGGCAACAGTGAAGGACAGCAAAGGGACTGTAATAATCTCCTTTTGTGTGATCCCTGAATGACATCGGAGGTGGCAGACATGTATTAAAAACAAACTTAATGAATTCACAACCATCTTTGGCTACTAGACATGCTTACATGCTTCAATATACAATCTGGATGTAAAACTAGCATCATGTTCTCTTTCTGTCAGGCATCATTCGTCTCAGTGAGGGATTTCATGATCGATATCCGGTGGAAGACTACCTGGACCTGTTTGATCAGGCTGCTTACCAAATCCAGGGTAACCTCACCGCTAACGTCAGTGGATCCCCCAGCCACCCAAATATCATCATAGGTAAGAAATTCAATATTCACAGTCACAAGGAATACTCTAAATACACCAGTAGGCAAAAGCTATATCAAACACACTTTTTCTCTTCCACTAGTTCTCTCCAGGTATTCTGGCTTCCTCCCACAGGCCAGAAACATGCATGTTAGGTTAATTGGTGATTCTAAATTGCCCACAGGTGTGAATATGAGTGTACATGAGCACGGCATCAGACAACCAACAGAGTCATGGGTAGCCATATTAGGAATAAGTGATAAATAATAATAAATGATAAATGGTGATGATATTCCAATACTTATGTAAATGAACTACTGATTTGTGGATTAGACATTTAAAAGTGAATAAAGGCAGACATTTGAAATTGTAGCAGTTAATGTAATTATTAGAGAAGCATTTTTGTTTTGTAGGAATGTGTCATCCTCACCAACTCACCGGGTAATACAAGGTTGAGCATTTTACATTTATAGAGGGGGGATTGAACGGGTCTCTGTGCTCTTCACAGGGACAGATCTTTTTCTTGTTTTGTCTGTGCAAGAAGAATAAGGTCTCTGCAAAAGTGCAGAAGAGCATAACGCTAACAGGAAGCTGCTTATCATCTTGTTCAGATGAAAAACCACCCAGTCTATTACACAATATCCTAAAAAAATGTATTCTTATATAGGAGCTAAGAGAACAAAATGCAAACACCGTCGGATATTTTGCTAATCAGATCTGTGGGCAGTTTAAGCTGCACAAACATTTCCTCCTCAGTATAATCACTGCCTTCCTGTTTTGTCAGAGCATCACATCATGTCAGAGCAGCTTTTTCTGTTTGCTACTCAGGCCATGTAACACAGATGTGATGTGTGTTACGTCTGGTGGTGTTTCAGCTAGGGGTGCCCTGACTCTACCCAAAACTCTACTACTGTCTCCAAAATGACAAAGCTATTATTAAAGCTACTTGTAGTAGCAAAAAGAGATGCACCCACTTTCACTTCTTCAGCAAGGATGGGTCATTTTAAAGATTGCCGGTAACTTGACCCAGAAGGGAAGTTCTAACTGCTTCATAGTGCTGGACTTGCCTCTGCCACTTTTAAGTGCGGGATAAAGGAATCATTGTTTTTCTGTCAGGGTAGCAATAATATCCGCAGCAGGGTGGAGAAGTGTTGCGAACCTCCTTCCTCTATCAGCATATCCTGTTTCCTGAATCTCTGCTTGTATCTGTTTTTGTCCTTTCCCATCATTTGAAAATACTGCTCAGCTGCGAAGAAAAAGCGATTTACGTTCTCAACAATAGTCTTTTCATGGTGGACTAAGTCGGTGTATTGAGAGCAGCTTAGCATGCTGCCCTGTTTTGTTTCTCTCTTTAAATAAGTAATCCTTGTAACCGGGTGGAGTATGCCAAAACCCCACTCAATATTCACACCAAGTCCTGAGAGAGCGCAGCAAGGTGCACGGCTCTGGCCTGGATCTTGGACCTCTGATTCTCTCCAACCGCCTGCCAAGTCCAAGCCATCGTGGAGCACCAGTCTGGCTTCTCCATTTGTTTGTTTTCACCCTCTCCCCAAAGACCAAAATAAGCCCCTTTAATGGACACCGGGACCCTAAAATAGACTTGATCACGGCGTGTATCATTTCAGGCATAACAGCATTAGCAGCGATCCGGTTTCACTTCCATCCCTTGTCGTCGCAGAAAATAGGTCCAGGCTATCATCTTCTCTCTGAGGAAAAGAAGGAGATAAGGCTCTTGTTGTGCTTCCTCCTAATACATCACTGCTTCACTTCACAGATAAGAGGATAATGAAGGCACAGACAGTCCTAATGAATCCTGAATATCATTTCTCAGCATTGCCAGCTAATTTTCCAGGCTCAATTTGTTTTAGAAATGCTCTCTGACTTATTATCAGCTTCCCTGTCTGGAAGGAAGTGACATTGCAATGTTTTTACACAGCTGGAGATGCTGTTTCTGTTACTTTTAACCTTGTGCACTTGGTACATTTGAGACTTTTATTAAACTGACCTTTTATATTATTTTGTCCTGTCTGTTAGTTGCAGGATAGACAATGTGGTCAGTGGTTTTGTAATGATATGTACTGTAAATGTTCTAAATAAGACCATTTTTTTCTGACAAAATTTCAATTATCAACATACCTGATCAAACGTACTCTTGATTGAATAGAATTTTCAGTCAAGGGGTTTAAGAAGTTTAGCCTTGACTAATTCTTGAACACCCAAATAAGAATCATAAATCACGGCTTTAGAATGTAAAACTGGAAGCATTGAGTTTGAATAACAGGCACTGTGGAAAATGAGAACGTGCAGCAGTTCCCTTCATTCTTATCAAGGGTGAAGTAATATAAGAAAAACTCATCAAAAATGGACATTATCTCTTCTGCCTTTTAAAATGTGAATGTCAAAAACCTCCTGAAAAAAACCTCCTTTCATTATTCTCCACAATAAGCCAGTCAAACTATTTGCAGAAGTAAAACTTAATTGAAATTATCAGTATTTTTCACCTGCTTGTAAATCTTTGAAAAATGGTGCTGCTTGTGAGTTTCTGTGTGGAAGAAGTCGAAGTACTCTCAAGCTTCTGAAATCTATTTTAAAAAACCCACACACACGTATTCATTTTGTGATATGGTTTTGAAGCATTTGCTAAAATGTTCCATTATTTCTGTTCAGGTGATCTTGAGGTCTGATGTTGTTTGAATTTTATGGTACTACAATAACTGTTGATATATTTCATGTCTGCTTTTATGAACAACTGGTTTGAAATGAATAATTAATTTATTAATATTCTTCGATTTGTTTCCGCTTCATCTGTGGGGATATTTCTTAGGAGAAGCCAGTGCTTCCACGATGTGGGATAACAACGCCTGGGTGTATTTCTATGACAACAACACAGAGGGAGAGCCTCCTTTCCTCATCCAGGACTTCATCCACGCTCTGCAGCCTGACGCCCGCTTCATTGTCATGCTCAGGGACCCGGTGGAAAGGTGGGAGGAATCCATGTTTTTTTTTTGTCGTCACTTGCATGTGCACTCTGAGGTTCCGGTAATGATACGGTTCTGAAACCCTGTCACAGATGTTTACCCTGATTACACAGACAGATACTTTCCTGGTTTAAAGGAACCCAAAGGCCCTGCTGTCACCAAAGATGTATCGACTTTTACTCAGACTGGCTCTCATATGTTTAATTTCTGCTCCCTCGGATATGTGGGGACCTCTCTGTGAAGTATTCTTTAAAACCTTGGATGTCTTGCTTTAATACAAATATATTTTTGCTTATAATGTTTATTGTTACTTCAAAGAACACCAGAGCATGCTCTCAATAATTGTGTGAGCAACCTTTTCCCTAAAGCGGCTCTACGGGAAATGAGTTGTTATTTCATGAGGATTAACCGTGTCGACATTAGAATGTGAAACTCGTTTATAGATCGGCCCTTTCCACAGTACACGTGTAGCGTTACAAATGAAATTGCACTCAAACTTTTACATTTTTCTGTGTGTCTACCATATTTTTTATTGACAGGCATTCCTGGTGGGAGGAAATATCATGCACAGCAGTGAACTGAATAAAACTCTGCTATGATTTGTTTCTGGTAGTGCACAAAGGCTCACTACTTTTAGCTCACTTCAATGATCTTGAGACAGTTTGAATAAAATAAGCAACAGTATGTCTTCTTTTACTTATTTTTAAACCATGTTTTCTGTCAGTGGCTGTGATCTGTGCCAATGTTGCGACAGGAAACATTCCACTTTTAAAGTATAGGGACAAATCATAAGAAACTATAAGTTTGAAACCACAAGCTTGAGCTAAGATCTTTGAACCAAAATCTGAAACAGTCTTGAGCTTTGCATTTAATTCACATTCAGATTTATTTCCCTCTTTTGTCTTGTAGGCTCTACTCTGACTACCTTTACTTCGGTATTGCCAATAAGTCTGCTGAAGATTTCCACGAGAAGGTGTCAGAGTCGCTGCAGCTATTTGAGGGATGCCTTACAGAGTACACAATGCGCTCCTGTGTGTACAACACTACTGTCAACAACGCTATGCCAGTGAGTGTTCCCTCCCTTCTGCCTTTGTGTAGCAGTGGTATTGTGTTGTTTGAAACGGGCATTTAGGGACCAGTTTATTAGCTGGTGAGAATGCGGGAATAGAAAAGGGGTGAAATCCATGGGTCATTTGCACATGCTAAAGTTTGCAGGACAGACTTTATTGAAAGAGATTGGCAGTGCCGTTGATACACTGAGCACTTCAACCTTTCCAGACCCTCTTTGCACAACAAAACCCGCTTTAGTGGTGCCGTGAACTTCCCTCTCATTCGCAGACCAAGCCCTGCAGTGTCAGTCAGTGCAGGGCCCTGGTGTTTGGCCCCTGGCCAGCTTTTCCCATAGTACCCCAAAGCGGGCGGCATGAAAAGGGAAAAAAAAAAAAAAGGAGAGTGGCCGATCCTCTTTTGGCTTTGTGCACAGACAGCCTGGTATTCAGAGGTCCTGCACCCCAACTGCCTCTGACAAGCGTCATGGCCCTGCGAGAGCACACTAGGTCTCTGCAGCAAGCCTTAAACGTCCATCAACCAATATCAGCGTTATTAGCCCGTGCTGTAAAGCTGTAAAGCACCAGAGCTTGGTGTCCTTATTGCCGTCTACTATGCCTGTGCTTTCTGGGCAAAATTCTAGAGATAACACAATAAACAATGGCCAAAAGCTAAATGAGCAAGTGGACATAATTTACATTAATTAATTTCATGTATGTTTTTGAGTAGTTAATTTTTTGTTAAAAAGGGAGAATTTCCACCTATAAGATTCTATCTAGTAAATCTCAATAACTGTCAGTAAGTAGATGTATGGACTATAGATAGAGGTGTAGATATCATTACTCCCCTCACACAGTATATTCCATATTTTTCCACCTCTAAACTACTCAGTAGAGTAAACACCTTTTATTGGACACAGATGTATATGTGCCCACACAGAGTCTGGCATTGCCCATATGAATTCACAGGAAGGATTAAAGAAAGCTGATGGAAACCTTCCTTTGTTTCTATTTAAGAAGATCACACACACAACACTTTATCCGTATACATTTCTTGGACAGAACTGTGTTATCTCACATAGATTTCTTTGTTTTGTTTCCACAGGTGAGATTGCAAGTTGGCATATACATTGTTTACTTAATGGACTGGCTGAGTGTCTTCAGCAGGGAACAGATTCTGGTCCTAAGGTTGGAAGACCATGCTTCAAACAGGAAATACACAATGCACAAAGTCTTTGATTTTCTTAGTTTAGGTAAGTAAGTGAAAAAAACCGACAAGACGCTTCCCCAAATACTGTACATACAGGGGTTTGTAATGTTGAAACGGTGACAATAATCAGCCACAGGCTGTCAAAATTAAACTCATGGAAATGGATATCATATCAATAACAAGCCTCTACAATATGATGATCAATTTGTGAACTTAAAGTAGCTAGGATTTGCAACATTTAATTGCTTAGAACTGTGTTAAGCAACAATCACATAATTTTAATGTGTCCTGCACAAAGGGTCCTGCTCTTTAGTTTTTGTTCAATGTTTCTTTAATTGTTTACATCTATATCACAACCATATTGTAATAAATCTGCCATTCCACAAACAAAGATTTAACAGTGTATTCAATTCAGTATTGACTGGTCAGCACACCATGGAGAGGAGACCCACATTGTATATGTTGATTTATTTTTTCAATAATCAATCTAAACCATTTTTTACCTGATTTGATAATAAACTGAATATGCAACACATGCATGAACAGGGCACTAATCTCTTCATTATTCATTTTGAAATGCTTAAATCATGTGTAAGATATTATCTTGAAAAACATCTATATCTCCACAAGAGAATTATCTTGGCACCTTGCAACCATTCAGTATCAAAGATTCAAACATTTCCTTTAGGATTACAGTATCCTGTTGTGTATGTCAGGTCAAAACAACTGTAGTTCAGAAGCCCTCTGGGTGCATGCCCTTTAAGCACCTGTTTTGTTCATTAAAGCACACCAATCTAAAATGCAATTGTATCTAGTAGAGAATCATCTTCATATAATTGAATTCCATTTATTTGGATTAGTATAGATTTTTAAAGGGCACAGAATACTGACATTTAACACAGGGTGTTTCATTTTGTTTTTTGTCTGTGTTTTACAGGGTCATTGACAAAAGAAATAGAATCAGAAATCACGAGAAATCCAGCATCAAACACCAGAAGACCAGCTGACAAAAACTTGGGACCCATGCTGCCCATCACTAAAGATATTCTGCAAGACTTCTACAAGCCGTTCAATGAGAAATTGGCAAAAGTGATGCGGAATGACTCCTTTCTTTGGGAGAATAATCCAAAACTCTGAAAAATAATGACTTCTGTAAACTTTAATGTAAAAAAAGAAAATAACAACTACTGGTAGATCAATAATCTCCTTTGTTTGGTTTTCATCTTACTCAAGTGCCCATGAAAAATCAGTGTTTTTACCTAAATTATTAAGTTATTAAGTAAAAGACAAAACATGGCACAAGTGTGGTGGTTTTGAATGAGTGTGTGCAAAAGAAAGGGTGTGAGGAATACAAATTATGCTGGTGTTGAAGTATTGATTGTTTTTCTTGCAACAATATGTGCAAAAACAAATTGTGAATTTCAAGATATTAAAGAATTGTAAAGTTGTCTTTTTCAATATTTGGTTTGTATCATCAAAGATGGTCAAATGCTCATACCCAATAAGAGGATACATTAGATTGTTTGTCATTATAGATGAAATATTTTACTGATGAAAAATGGTGTGCTTTGGTCACACCATTTTTCACCATTTTTCATTAGCCCTCTGCGACACCAATGTCACAGAGAGCCAAACTATAGAGCAATAAAAGTTAGCAGAATGTGGTAAAATGGTAAGACACCGCCCTCTTCTGGGAAGTGCATGTAACTATACAGATAAAATATCCCAAAGGCTAAATTGAAAACCTTGAGAGCTAGAAGAATAGAGCTAAAATATCTTTCTGTAAGCTGTTAGAGATCTTAATTATTCATTGGATAAAAATTTAAAGTAAGTGAAAATTAATGCAATTACAAAGGTATTTATTTTGAAGTGGGTAAATATGTTTGCCGAAAATACATTATGTAATATGATAATTTCCTACTTGAAATTCAAAACCATATATAAATAGAAACTTCAACATATATAAACAGCATTTACAGCCTTAAAATCCTCATCTAAATAATTTAAATAAAGAAAATCTGATAGACATAATGATAACTGTATGTTGTTCAAGTACACTGAAGAAATGTATCATTTCTACACCAGAGGGCAGAAAGTGCCCCGTGTTACCTTTGGTGTTAGCTCAGTTAGGAATATGCTCTGATATGAGCAACATCTGCAGGAATTTAAATTCCTCATTGTACAGCAGCTTTTGAAAATAAATCATGCCATCCTCTTTTTACAGGGTTTAACAAGGCTTCCACTGTCGTTGGATAATGATGTAAGATCTGACCGTTCTTGTTACAGTTCTCAAGCAGAGATGCAGATTTTGTACTTTACAACCATAAAACCTTTTCTTGTCACTTAAATCAAAATAGTCTGACTGGAAATAATTTGCATATGTTATTTAGAGCTGAATGCTTAATCTATGTAGCTAAAGAGTTTCAGTTTCAAAGCCTCCCACCAATTTCCTTGGAATTCAATTATGTTATCAACATACCTTTCATCTCAATCTACGCTGGCTCCAAATTCACTGAAAGATGGAAAACTACTCTCAGAACACCCAAGGGACTATTTGAAATGCACATTTAATCCAATATATTATTATTTTACCTGCTTCTGTGCTGCATTTTTGGTTCACAAAGAAAACACAATGAAATGATCAGACACTGACACTTGTTCCAGTGTCTCGTGTATCTTCTTTCTAATAGCAACAAAGAAATACAAAAAGGCACATTGGCTTTATCTACCAAATATATCACAAGGACACAAAAAATTCAACCCAAAAAAAGACAATAGAGAGTACAGATAACACACATCAGACTCAGGGAAAGTGAAGCTACTACAGATATGGTCTAAGGATGACCACATAAGGTTTTTTAATTTAGTTTATTTTCATGTACTTGAAGTACTTATTGCAAGTAAGTGATAATATGATGTATAATTTTACTGGAGTAATATATATGATCATTAGGATCTGTACTTTTACTCCGGTAATGAAACTGAGTACTTTATCCACCCCTGATTAAAACAAACTAAAACAAGTGGAAGCGAAAGCTGAACGGTTGTTTGGTTGTTGTATCCTAATTCAGGGATTTTCCTTCATCGCCACTGAAAAGATACATTAACAGTTAAAAAAGTTTTTTCGACCCGTATTCCCTTACCTGTTGCCATGTTTTCATTATCATCTCCCAGAACGCGACGTTTGAAAGTTGAATTCTTTCAAACCTCACTCTCACATTTTGTCACCTTGACAACAGAACCTCTCAGAGAAACCCCGAGGATTTCTTCCGGTAAGTCTTATATTTACTCTCATTTAACAAAACGCTGCAAAAAACGGTGAAAACGGAATGGTGTTTTATTGTTTTCTATTAAAGCGGTACCATAGCTCATAGTACATGTACACCAGAGGTAATAACAAAGTAAATGTACTCGAGTACTGTACTTAAGTACAGTTATTCAACAATTGGGGGGGAAAGTACACAGTTGTTTTAAAACGGGCTGTAAAAATCCATGATTTGTTCTTTTCCTAACGTAATAAAACTGAGTACTTTGTCTACCACTGATTTTTACCGGCTAAAAGTCCATCCATCCACCATCCTCCGCTTATCCGGAAGCTAAAACCTCCGGGAGGGAAAGGGGAACGGTTGATTGGCTGTTGTGTCCCAACTCAGGGATCTTTCTATTTTTTCTCCATCGCCACTGAAAACAAACAGTAAAAGTTAAACATGTTTTTCCCGATCCCTGTTTCCTTTCCTGTTGTCATGTTTTCACGATCACATCTTTCATATCGCGACGTTTGACAGTTGGTTTCTTTTAAACTCCTCCAGCCTCACACCTCCATCCTCACCGGATGCTGCTGCGCACGTGTGCATCACATCATCATTATCATATGCGAACTCTGAAGGATCTTAAACTGTCTGATCCTCTAGTTGTTTTCCACTATGGCCAGTTGGGAAGTTAGGGTGGACACTTCGTGGAAGTTTCACCACCTTAAACGTGTTGAAAATAACGGAAGCGTTCTGCCGGGTCCTCCTCGGTGTGTTAGGCAGTCTAACCGTAAAGGAGAAACTGCCAGCATCAGATAAATGATCGCGTTTGTTCAGCATAACTGTCGTTTCTACAATATATTATCACGTTATAACGTGATGTTGTTAAAAAAAAAAGTAATTCACAGCCGTGTAGGCCAATTGATTTTTCATGACTGTTTGTTCGTTATTTCAACTAATTGATCGTCACGTAAAAAAGTGTTTCTGTTACTTTTGCATTTATATACAGTATGTTTGCTTTGATAGCAACAATTTTCAAACCTGTTTTTTTTAATAGCAGAAATGTGGTAAACATTAAAGTTAATTACTGGCAACCCAGCTGCCAGTATTTTACAGTAAATACACAGAACAACAATGCTAATGTAAACAGTAGGAATGGAAAATGCAGATACAGAAATTATTAGACATCTATATAACTCTAACAAAAAAGAGCACTTCAGACAAACGTCCAAAATAAATATTTTTGCATAATTCAAACTATGACCTAAGGCTCTTTTTAATGTATCTCTCCATTAGTGGCTTCATCATGCAAGTAGAATAATGTCTTCAGACAAAGATATGAACCAGATATTATTTTACTGAAACAGTATTTAAAAACAATACTTATTCATACTTTAACAACAACAAATACATACATTTTTAAGCTTTCAACTTTGATAAAATTTTCATTCAACAACCAAAAATCCCCTGAACTTAGGGGATGTCATGTTATCTGTTAAGCCTGACCCATCCCTCTATCTCATTTTCCTGATTTCCTTTGTGATCTAGGGTCAGAATGGCTGCTGCTGAGGAAAACAGGCAAAAGCAGCTCCCTGCACAGAAGGGAAGCATCCCAGTGAGAGCAGTCAAGGACAAGTTACCGACAACAAAATTTCGGCAATCCTGCATAAAGATAGCAAATAGCTGATATCCTTTCATAGAGTTTGAAAATACTGGGGCCAACACCAGGTAAAGCCAACTTTACCTGGTGTTGGCCCCAGGTAAAGTATACACTTTATAAAAACACAGCTTTATTACCTTTGCTGGGGACAGTATTCTCTCCGTATGGACAGGTAACTAGTGGCCTCATTGAGTGGCTCAGACTTTAGACCTCAAATATGTGTTGCAGATGAATCACAGCCTGTGTTTTGACCTTAACGTCTTGAACGTGGTTAGATTACGTCACCATATTCTTCATTATGATGAGCTGCGTGGCTAAAGTCATGTACAACCCTTGTGTTGGAGAGAAGCTCTACCATGTGGTGGGTGAGAGTGATTTTAGAGGGATGAACTAATGGTCTGAGAACCAGAACCAAGTTTTTTTTATTATGAAAAAACATTTCATTATTCACAGTGAAAACACATTCACTTTGATTTTGTTTATACATGTTGATCTTGTGGATTTTTTTTTCATTGTATCCAACCAGATTGTGAGTGCCGTGGTCTTTACTTACATTATCTGGGAGATGGCGGTTAAGATGGTCGCCATGGGCATATATGGCCGTCCAGAAAGCTACCTTTCCAACAGATGGAACAAAATGGACTTTGTACTCACCTGTGCACAGTTCGTATCCCTTAAAATTCCTTTCTCCTTAATGTTTATGCAGCAACAAACTTCTCATCTGCTTTCTTGTGTTGGACCATCTTCACAGGATAGTCGTCATCATCATTGACAATTTTGGATTCAAGTCAGGAGCTGGTCCTGCGCTACAGTCGGTGCGGCTGATCAGCAGGACAAAAAGTAGGCTGGCATTTGAGCGTTAGATGATATGTGAGGATAGGAAATTCTTCCTTTCCTCATTGCTGCTTCTCAGTTTTTCTGATGGCCGGCCTATTCATTAATCTCTACTTTAGATTAAATTGTGAAAGAGAATACCAAAGTTCCGTCATAAAATGTGCTACTGTGTATGACCATGTGTGAAAAAATCCTACACACCAGACCTTTAACAACATCTATATACACCTTTGAGGACTTAGGACATCAGTGGCAGATCATATTTCAAATAAACTGTTGAGAGGTAAAATGAAAAATTCTTTCTGCATGAAAACCTTATCTTCATGTGTTCACCTTTGTAGGTTTGCGAGGATTGGTGTCTCTACTTTTGGACATCGCACCCATGATTACCCGTGTGGTAGTCATGTACTTGGTCGTGATCCATGTCTTTGCTGTCACTGGAGTTCAGCTGTGGATGGGGGAGATGAACAACCGATGCTTCCTGGGAGAGGACATCCTCACGTAAGAAGTGTTTCTCCCATTATTTGATTCTTCCTCTCTGTCTGGGGTGCAGTGAAAATACTACTACCTTTATTCCATAAAATGTTGGGCTGCCATGTAAAATGGAAAAGAACTAAACAAAACAGCAGAATGTTGAAAGTGAGACAACTTGATTATTACATGAACAGCATTTGCTAGCACATCTTAAAAAATGTGTGAAAGGTCCATGTTCACCACTGTGAGGTAAACGCTCTGCATTAATCAGTCACTAAGAATCTGGAAAACGGGAGACCAACTGTTGGACCTTTTGGAGGGAATTGTCCCAAGCTTATTTTTCTAGTCATCCAACAATTCTGCCATATAATTTAGGACAAATTTTCACAATTTTTTATGATCTATTATAAATAATATGTTGATTTAAGAGACTTGCATATAATTGTGTATTGATTGTTATTTTATTTTTATGCACTTTCCAGACTTTCTTTGAATTTGAGTTGTGAACAGCTAATCAGAACCTTACATTTTTAAAACTAGTCAGTGAACGTTTTACTGTATTTCATTTTTGTTTCTGCAACACAGAGAACTCTGTGTGACATCCACATTTTAGATCTAATGTTCTGTTTTCATCCTTTTTTAATCCAGAAAGTACAACTTGTCTCTGAATCCGTACTATGTCTCAGCCCCCGGGGAAATTGATCAATATCTCTGTTCAGCTGAAGATATGAATGGAAATAGGCGGTGCGCTGACATTCCACCCTATAAAGAAGGTGGAAAGGTTTGTACACTGGAAGCTCCACCTGAAAATTGGCTGGGTAACTGGTCAGCCAGTGGTGGAGACTGTGTTAATTGGAACGTCTACTACAACGTATGTCGACCTGATGGCCCAAACCCCTATGTTGAGTCCCTCAACTTCAACAACATCAGGCATGCCTGGATTACCATTTTCCAGGTGGGTAATTTATTAATCCGTTTATGTTTGTTGTTTTTTATACAGACCGTCCTACGGTTTCTATTTAACTGTTTCGTTTTGCGTCCAGGTCATGACTTTTGAAGGGTGGACAGAAGTCATGCACTATGTAATGGACACACATTCTTTCTGGAGTTTCGTGTATTTCGTCCTCGTCACCCTTGTAAGTATCGATATTTCTAACGATTCAGCACATGAAGGAACCCCATTGGGATATTGATAACGGATGGATGGGTGGATGCCTTTGCAACAAAAAATAAATGGGACCATTAACATTAAGGGGCCCGGTGCAGACATGGGGGGCCCTGTTTGAAACTTAACAGAAGAACCTTTGCTAAATTTAGAGAAAAAGAGGTTATATCAGATCTAAATTATATTTTTGTTGTTTTCTACAACATAAACACATTTAAAGAATTGTTTTGTGCCAAGCTGAAATCCAGAGTTTTTTGGTAACTTAAATGTTTGCATCTCTGGACCTCTTCTTGCTGAGAATTCCTGCCACTTGCCAGCTTTGTAACAAATGAGTAGCAGCTCTAGCATAGTTTTTTTTTTTTTTATTGACAGATTGGTACATTCATTTTCCTCAACACCTGCGCTGTGGTCATCGCCACTTTCTTCGCGGAGGCCATGGCAAAAAGCTCTGAAGACTCCTGCTCTTTCACATCGCCCTTCCTGTCGTGGTGCTGCAGGTTGATTAAGGAGCTCCTCGAAAGGTCGGATTTATAAACCCAGACACATTGAATGAGTCATTGTTTTTTTTGTTTTTTGTTTTTTACAACGTGTCATTTCATCATGTTGCTTTGAATCATATAAAGTTTACATCTTAATTCTCCTTTGACACCATATTCATTCATTAATCGTGAACTTTACTACTGTAGAGTTTCTGCCAGCTTACCCAACTCCGGCTGCAGCAAAGGGAAAAAGGCTACAATGGTGAGACTAGATCCCAGCTGGCAGCAGTACCATTATTAGAGGTTTTACTGCTAAAAAACCCCAAAACAATGGTCACTAAACTGATTTTCTTCTCTATCTACTTTGACAAGAGGGTGAGAAAGATGGTGGATGGCAATTTATTTTCTGGAGGGATTATGTTTGCAATCTTTCTGGATACTATCACCATGGCCATTGACCACCATGGGCAGGTGAGACAAAAGCCTAGAAACACTGCAGATATTAGATAAAGGCGAGCTCAGTTGCACTTTCTTGAGACAGATCTTTGTCATTTATCTTCTAGAAACTCTATAGCTTTTCACTTGTTTTATTATACTTCCCATATAATTTTTGTTTACCTTAGCGTGTGATGTCCTTTCCCTCTTCTTCTCAAACAGCCTTTGGAGATGACAGAGGTGTTTAAGGTGTGCAATTACCTTTTCACTGCTGTGTTCTTGATGGAGATTGTCGTAAAACTACTTGCTTATGGATATTTGTACTTCATGGAAGGAAGTAACTTATTTGACTTTAGCATCGTCATGATCAGGTGAGATAGATGTTTGTCTTTGATTAGTACTGTGTCATATACAACTCTGACTCTTAAAAAGTTTTCAAGGTGAAAAAAAAACAGTATGTGGGTATTCGATGCTGGAGATGAACAGTTGTTGTTTGTGGCATTCAGTCTGTGCGACGTAGCTGGAGTATTCGACACCGGGCTACCAGCTATGCGAGCACTTCGGATGATGCGCTTTGGTCGCCTCGTGAACAACTTCCCCTACTTGAAGAGGCAGCTGATGCTGCTGTGTAGGACCCTAGGGAAGGTGTTCACCCTCTGCCTGTTGATGGTGCTTTTTGTTTTCGCCTTTGGGTAGGAACACACTTGAACACATGTTGATACGAAGACTTCCTGCTGTTGGTGACTGTTTCTAATGTCCTAGAGAAGCCGAAAGGCAGCTTTGTTACACTGTTGATGATCAAGTACAAGATCCAACATGTGAATGACTCCCATCTGTTACCTCTTTTCAGTGTGATGGGGATGTACCTGTTTGGCTGTAGATATGATGCCAGGCATAACTTTGATTCGCTTACCTGGTCCATGGTGACAATCTTCCAGGTTGACAAGTTGCTGTTTGCATTTTTTCTTTTATCTTAAACGTCATTATTTTTCATCATTTTCATATCAGTCTTTGTCTTTACCTTTTCTTTTTATTTGACCATTTATCCATACAGCTTCTGACTCAAGAAGACTGGAATCTGGTGCTGTACAATGCCATTTCTTCCACCTCCGGATGGGCTGCTGTCTACTTTGTCGTCACCAGCATGATTGGGAATAACATTCTTCTCAATGTCCTTATGAGCATTGTGGTTGATAGCTTCCAGTCTGCGGTATGGTTATGTTCAAATCAATCCTTCCGCCAATCCATGGCTTTAAAGTATAGCAGACATATACACTATGCCTGCATACACCAATGGATTTTGTCTGCTCTTCCTCTGAAAGCCGCCCATTGAAACATCCACTGAGAGCGACATCCAGGTAAGCTACCAAGTTTCCAGATCGTCCCCTGATCAAATGATTTTTTTCTTCATTTTTTATTTTCACTGCAAAAGTCCATATACTTGGGCAAAGACAAGAAAAAGTTAAGAAGAGAGTACATAAATGCAAACAATCCTTAAGAAGAGTACAGTTTGGAAGTTCAAGGTTAATGGTACCAATGAAGTGCAACCTGGATATGACAGAAGCAGAAAATGAGCAGGAATTGTGACCAGTTGCAAAAGAAAACAAGAGCCACAGAGTTCCATTAAACTTTAGTGTCTGGAACTTTTTACTCTATTCCATGAAGGCAAAGATTTAGTGGCCAGCTGTATTTTTCCCACAAGTACGTCACATATACCTCAGTTCATACTGTGCATACCTCTGGTCTCCGTTCCAGGGACCGACAGAATCCACCCACATCGGCAGAGATGTCTCTGCATCCAGAAAAAGAAACCCTTTCCAAGTGAGTTTGTGAGGGGTACAGCTCTGAAAGTCTTTAAAATGGAGACACTATGAGACTATTCTTCTTGGTTAAGAAAATGATAACCCTGCATGGACTGACATGGTGTGACATGTTGCTGGTGTCATTAACCACCTTTAGTAGTAGCACCTCAAGAACAATCTTCAGAATCACCCTATAAACAGAAGGCACAAACTGGACTAGTCAGCATTTTTTTCCCATAATTAAAAAGAGGTGACTGATTTGTATCTGCTGAATCCCACAGAGATTTTTGAACTTCTTCCAAAAACCACTGCAGTGGTGCAGGGAGCACAAAGAATGGGCATTCTTCCTGGTGCCTCCACACAACAGGCATGTCCTACACGCACACACATTCTCTCTGATCTATAGAATTGTGTCGGAACATGCCACTAAAGCGTTGCTGTGTGTGTCTGTTTGCATTCAGATTCCGCATGCTTTGCAAGAAATTGGTCGAGCACAAGTATTTTGATTGGAGCATCATGCTCTTCATCTTGATAGGCTGTATCACCAATGCTTTTGAGAGACCTGCAATATTGGCCGATAGCACAGTAAGATTAAAAGGACTCTCAGACGCTGTAAAGAACACACACAGTCTGGCACACAAACACGGAAGACCTGGATGTTATGAATTTGATAACACAAATGGATAATGAAGTATTCATTTACATTTTTTGTAAGAAAAAAATGTTAAAGGCACTTCTTTTTCACCCTTTAGGAGCGACAGGTTCTGGACATATTCAGCGATGTCCTGGTAGCAATTTTCTCAGTGGAGATGGTGATGAAGGTAAGCTTTGCAAACTAAATCATTGTCTTAGATTTCCAGATGTTTGAGGTGTATTCATAACGTTTTTATTTAGGTTTAACCTTGATTTATAAAGACTTCTACATTAAAGCAGAGTCTCATTTTCAAGGTACATTTGTTTCAAACATATGGTTTCTTAATACGAATTGAACACAGGCCCTTTTGCCAGACTCCAAATACAGTTAAGAGTTAGAAAAACACTCAGAATGAATGCTCCATCCGTCCATCCATCCAAACATCCATCCATCCATCCATTATTGCATTACCACTCATCCCCTAATGGGGTCGTGGGCAAAATATATATCCTTCATTTAAAAAAAAATTATGGTTATTTTAAGGAGTGTTGTTATTAAATTTCTCAACATGATGAGGATTAATGGATGTTTCTCTAACACTAGGTTACGGCCAAAGGTTTTGTCTATGGAGAAGATAACTACTGCAAGAGCTTCTGGAATATCCTGGATGGTTTTTTAGTCATTTCATCTTTGGGGAATCTATTGTTCAAGGCTGGGGAATCTGGAGAGTCGCGGATGTTTAGTTTGATAAAGGTTTTACGTCTGCTACGTGCCCTCCGCCCTCTCAGGTACATTTTGCTTGACTGTTTATTCTGTTTTGTGTTGTCTCAGATCTGTTACGATTTAACTGCCTTTTTGTTGGTTCTGATACATCTGGCTTGTTTTGTTCGTTCCAGGGTGATCAAGAGAGTGCCAAAACTGAAGCTGGCTGTGGAGGCTCTTGTTTCCTCTGTGAAACCCATGGCAAATATCATTCTCATTAGCTGTGTCTTCCTCTTTTTTTTTGGCATTGTTGGAGTTCAGGTGAGGAGGACGCACAGCTTTTGTCGGCCCTCAGTAATGTGTTTTTCATGGACGTTAATGGACCACCAGTTTTAAAGTACCGTAGATAAATTGAAATGAGGACCCTGACTCTTTCTCTTTGTGTCACACGAACATCAGCTATTCAAAGGACAGTTCTCCTATTGCGTTGGTGAGGACACAAGCATGATTGTCAACAAGTCTGACTGCTTAGCGGCCAACTATCAGTGGGTGCAGAACACATTCAATTTTGACAACCTACCACAGGTAGGACATCACACTATTACAGCAGGAGAGCACAGATCAGATCTTTTTTCCACAAAATCGAACTTAAACCTTATTGATTAGATCATTACAGGGCAACTCAGAAATTACAGAGACAGACAACCACACACATTCACACTTCCACGGTCAATAGTCTCCGATTGACCCGGAGGAAAAACTGGAAGAACATAATAATTCCAGACGGATAGCTAGCAGCTGGAATCCGCACCAGAATACCTCATGCTATGAGGCGACAGTGCTAACCACCAGGAAGCCCCTGAATCAATAGATGAAATTATGCATATAGGTGTATTCATGGCTTTTTCATGTGAGTTTAACTGCATGAAAATGCCATGAATACACCTATATGCTTTCAAACATACAGTTTCTTAATATGAATTAAACACAGGCACTTTTGCTAGACTCCAAATGCACTTAAAAGTTTTTTTAAAAAGACATAATGAATTCTGTGACCGCTCAGTCTACCCCACAGACAAAACTTAGACAAACTCAAGGCTTTTCAATCTCTTGGCACATTTTTCTGAACTTCTGAACTCTTCTGAAAATGAAAATGTATGTCCTTAATAAATAAAAAAAGATTGTGAATGCTGATTTTATGTCATAAGCCCCGTTACATTGTCTTATGGAAAACTTTGACTACTCTTAGATATATGTTAATCATGCCAGAAGACTAAAGTTTGTTTTCTGTAATGTTTGCGTTCTGTAATATTGCCAATGTTTTCTTTTTGCAATCAGAGGTCTTTTGGGGGAAACATGAACTGTAATTTCTCTGTTTTCCCTTTCAGGCACTGCTTACCCTTTTTGTAATGTACTCTAAAGATGGATGGTTAATCGTTATGTATGATGGTTTGGATGCAGTTGATGTTGACCAGCAGGTACTTTTTTGCATTATGCATGACACATGTTATGCAAAAAACATACAAGATTTGTTATTGATGCCCTCCATTTAACTTTTTCATGTGCTCCCTTTTCAGCCCCAGAAGAACTACAATCAGTGGCTGTTGACGTATTTCATCCTGTTCATGGTCATGAGCTTGTTTCTTCTGGACATGTTCATCGGTGTGATGGTGGAGACCTTCCACCAGTGTCATCGGGCACAGAAACAAGAGGACCATGGACAACAGCACGATAGCACTCCTTCCACTCGTAAGCAGAGGGGTTCTAGAGACTAAGTATTCTTTTTCATGTAAACTCCTTTGAATAGCAACTCTTTTGATATACTGTACAGCATTTCAACACTCACAATAATTCTTGGTGTGTCCATTCTTGTGCATGTATGTGTCCTGACTTCAGAAAATGCGGTGGCACCAATTGAAGAGAAGTCTGCCCCCACACACTGCTACATAGTTAAACTGAGCACCAGCAGGGTTTGGGACAATGTAGTAACCATCATAGTATCCTGCAATATGTTGGTAATGACTTTTGAGCATCATGGCCAGCCAAAGGTAAGACAACAAAACTCTCCTCTGAACCACATTCAGCATTTTGGGGTGGAGGTTAAAACCACACGTGCATATGCCTGCGTTTTAGTACTTGACAATGCTTGGAGACTGCGCCCACTATGTCTTCACCCTGTTTTTGGGTGCCAAAGTCCTTCTGATGCTTGTGGCTTTTGGATGGAAGAAGTTCAGGGCTGACAGGTAACACACTGGAATGATGGAGAATAGTTTGTCTTCTACTTCATTTTTGCTGTGTCTGACGTGACATGTGTGTGTGTGTGTGTATGTGTGTGTTTAGCTGGAATATGCTGGACATGGATATTTTAATAGTTTCCATCATCAGCGCAGTTTTCACCCTGTTGAACACGGCACGCAAAGTGACCTTCAGTCTCAAGGCACTGAGAGTCTGTCACATCCTCAGACTTGCAAAAGGTACTTTAACACACACATCCACAAAAACACTATAACTTTATCTATCATGATTAAGTCGTCATTGTGGGTTTGCACATAACACTACTCCTAGTGACAACTGCTGCTTCCCCTCAGTGCTGAAGGACGAGAAGATTAAAGTTCTGATAAGAACAATCACCAAAACTCTCTCTCAGGTAAACACACGCACGCACACAAAGTTTATGTGTGAAGAATATCTCTTTGAGAGGATGCTAAACATTTAACCTTTTATATGATTTATTCTCCTATTGCTAAACCTCTCAAAGCCTCTCAAATGAATGTAAATCATTTAAATTATTATATACGGTAGTATTAAATTAATTTTTAAAACCTGCGGAAATTAGTAACTTTCTCATTACAGCTGTGGTTAAATGAATCTAGCACAGACCATACATCAGCCAGATTTGTTTTATAGATAGCGCAGCACCATATGCTAGCAGAAAAAACTGAGCCTAAAGAGTACAGTTGTCATCCACCAATCACAAGTCCTAAATGTGCTAGTTTGAGCTAATACTGCAGGACTGTTACTAGTGTTTACAAAAGTCCTGTGGCATGCTTTTCTTCAATTTCTGCTCAATTAAACCTCACGTACCGGTTAAATCTGATTTAGTAGGTGTTGGTATTTGTGGGCCTCCAGTAATTTACTGTATTTTTCTTTCACTTCAGGTTGGACATATTTGCCTTCTTTTTTTCTTTCTGTTTTTCATTTTTGCTGTCCTTGGGGTGGAACTTTTTGGCAAGTTAGGTAAGTTCCACTGACACGACAAACATTAAAACACCTGAGCATCATATCATGCAGCTGAGAAGGATTAAAAGTCTGTTTCCCTGAAATGTTTCACTTTTTAGGAATAGGAACCCTAAACTGTGCATCAAATGCAATACTGAAATATATTAGCAGTGCAGAAAAAGACCGTCTGTGTGTCTGTGTGTCTTATTGTCTCTGTTAACAGCTTGCACTCCTGAGTACCCGTGCTTTGGGATAAACCGGTACACCCATTTCAAAAATTTCCCCATGGCTCTGCTCACCCTGTACGCAGTGTGCACCGGGGACAACTGGAATGGAATCTTGAAAGTATGAACACTCTCACATACGCTTCTATACAACCTTCAGCAATGAAGGCTTTTAGTCATTTGCTCACTGGACACCTGTCACATACAACTGCACACATGGGCCAAGTTATGTGAGGCCTTCCAGCCAGTGGATGACCATCTGGCTCTGTGTCACTGCAGGACACCCTGAGGGAGTGCCGACCCGATGACGACGACTGCTCCAGTTACTTACGCTGGGCCTCACCATTGTACTTTATAACCTTTGTTATCGTGGCCCAGTTTGTGCTAGCGAACCTCGTGGTGGCTGCCATTGTGCAAGCTCTCGAGGACAGCACAAAGGTAAAGTTGCAAATAATGCATCACAGATGCAACATGTACAAATGTATTTTTATTGACAAACCTTTCATTTTTTTTGTAGGAGGTTTCCTCTGATATTAATCGTAAGTACACTGGAAAGCACCGTCAGTGAACATCAACTGAACATGAAGGAAGGGATTTGTAGCATTAGGCCAGTAGTTACTGAAGATTTCCCCTCATTTTTAAGCTTTTAAACAAACAAGAAGGTATATTGGTATTTGGCTTTCCGACCATGGTCCAAATTTATAAGAAGGATTTTTCTGACACAATTTGAGAATGATAAAAGAAAAGTGGTTCCTTGTTGGGCAGTGAAATCTTTGTAATTGAGCTGAATTGTTGACCTTATAAAGATATTTCACTCGAGGCAACTCTGTAAATCTCAGCCACATAATCAAAACACACTGATGACAGATGCAAAAGACTAAAGTGATAATATTTACTGACAAAACTCTCTCCCTTAGGAGCAGAAGGGTTGAAACCTCCAGAGGCAGATTCAGAGTGTCATCAAGTGTAAATTGATTGATACATTTGTGTTTGGGCTATTTTGTGCCTTCTTTATTTGTTTTGTACCATATTTATTTTTTAATCACCACAGTGTACACCAGTTTCAAACATATGATACGGTTTTGTCATTTTTTTAACAATTTTGATAAGCCAATTTACTGTGAATTGTTTTAACTCTATTAAGTTGGTATTACTTGTCTGTTGTAGTCTGTACTTGGATTTTTTAAATTGTATATATACATGTTTATTACTGTTTGTTTCCTGAATAAAACCTCCAACTTAAGCAAGTTTTGTCTTACATTTTTGCAAAAGTATGGTATGATAGTGGGCTGTTTTAAATTCTGAGTTTGGTTTGTTTTCAGTCCTTTCCAGAGTAGTAAGCAATAATGAAGTATAAAATACTACTTAGCCATAAACAAGAGTGGTCTAAACCTGCCTGATCTGAGGAACTATGACTGGGCAGCCCAAATAAGAGTCCTCATATCATGGATAACCAAAGATAAGGAAGCAATTTAGCTGGAAATGGAACAAATAGCTTGCCTGAGGACATGATAAGAATCCCTTTTCTCTCTTGTTTCCCCCGTTGAATTTTCTTACTTTGTTTCTTTTAAAATTAAATTAAATTATTTTTCCAAACTGAATTTGTTTTACCATTTCTTCAGCTTGTCCAATCAGGAGCAGTCTAGGCAGAGTGAGTCTTTGATGGACATGTTGGACAGCTTTTCCATTCACATTCAGTCGTTAGGTCTGTAATTTATCGCTTAAACGCCGTCAGCAGTAGCAATCCTGGAACATAACATCCGTAATATCAGTGGTGACAGAAAATGAGAAGACTGAGCGGTTTTACTTTGAGCTGGCGATAAAACATTAACACCTTGAAAGCCACATGCTCCTTTGACTCAGAGGTTTAATTCAGCCGATCCCTCAACTATATGTGTGAATATGAGTGAGCTCTTTTCAAATGACATTAAGATAACACTAAGGGGCAATGACAACATTATATATTTAAAAACATAAGCAAACCTTGTGAATTTTAAACGTATGAAAATGAGACATTTTCTTTCAAATAAAGCAGAACCATCGACAAACCATTTTTTAAGTACCCAGTTAAAGCAACAACACAGCTGAGTGCTCTCATTGGTGTCCAGAGAAAGACCAAAAAAGCATTTGAGTGACTATATAAAACAATAAGGGAGGTTCTGAGATAGTCTTTTCAGCCCTGCCTGAAGAAAGAGCACCTTTCACTCTGACTCTTCTGTTAGGATCATAGCAGGAGATGAGAGGATGATTGTTCACACAGGATTCTATTTGAGCTCTCCACAGTCTGTGATGGAGATCCTCTTAGAGTTTGAACTGTAGGATTCCACTTTCTTGACCACGTCCATTCCCTCCTTCATGATGCCAAACACAACATGTCTGCCATCAAGCCTAAATAAAGAAGAGGTTTGTTTTAAGATGAGATGATCCACGCTGACCTGTTGCTTTTTGTTGAGCAATGAGAGTTCCTGCTGCGATCCTGCCCCTTTAAGCCCCGTGCAAGTATCAATAGGATTTCTGTGAGCTTTCATGGCAGCAATACACAGCTTTTCAAAGAAAGAAGAGTACTCAATAACCCCTACAGGGGTGGCAAATCACCACCCCGTGAGCACAATCAGACATTTTCAAGTAATCTGATTCCCTGTTGAGGCACATCTTGCATGGCTGCTCACTGCAGTCTGACAAAACATTAATTCCTGCCTTACTGAATAAATGGGTAGAAGGTTAAAGCAAACAATTTACGCTGAATGAAAGGATGATATTGCCACGTTCCACATTAATTAATGCACTTGCTGTGGCTTTCCAGATATTACACGCTTGTTTCAAGATATTTTCAACTTATTGGGGTCCAGCATTGGCCACAGACAAATTACCTGAAACACAACCAAGTGTTGACTCAAGAAGATATCTACCTTACAGTTCTATGACAATGCCCCATTAAAGAGCAGCACTTTGTAAAAAGTTAGGAAACAATAATAGATTCTATGATCTTCGGTGGATATCTGGAAAATGTCGCCATCTGATGGCAAAAAAGTGATACAACATCTCATCTTGTTTGAACTTCATATCTTCCATTATGCATTTGATTTTATCATGACATTAATTTATTTATAGATGCATCATGTGTCCTTTAAAATCCCCCTTGGATTATTTTGTTTTTTGTTTTGTTTTGTACCTCAGCCCTTTTTTCATTTCTCCCATTTTTACTCATCCAAATTAAATTAATTTGACCAGTGGGGCCTTTGTTCAGTCTTGGAAAATCAGAAGCAGTTTAGGCAGGATGAGCTTTTGAATGGGGCATGTCGACACCCTCTATATTTATTCTTTCAGAGGAAGTTACTGGTATTGCTTTGACTATCTACAATTCTAAAACATGAGGGAGGGAGTGCAGTGAAATTTGGTTTGATGTCAGGAGGGAAGGGTGGCTTCACATCCTGGTTTGGTGACAGGTATGGAGGAATGCTAAATCCGGGAGTTGTTGGAGGGGTGATATTACCAGGCACTGTAATGAGGGTAGTTACCCACTGGTCTTGGAGACTGAACAAAACACAAAATGATAGTAAGTCAAATATTCAGGGAGCAAATCCAGTGATGTTATTTGTTTGGCCATCAAATGGTGGATCTTACTGTAATTAGATTTATCGGATTCTTAAATTAACAAAGCTGATTCAATTTAGTGCCATCTTTGTGATTGGAAAAAAAATACATACAGTACATGGACAGAATCATGGAATGGTAGAGAATTTATTGAAAAAACTGACATAGGCCACTTCACCGTTTAAGAGGAGTCAGCTCAAGCATCCCACTGACTTGAAAGGGAATCTATCCAGATGTCTGCAGAATGACAATGGAGTCCATGAACCTGTGGCATGTGGGCAGGCCATTTAAAATCACATTTGAGGGATTTACAACAGGATGTTGGAGGTGGCTGGGAGAAAACTTTCTCTCCAGAGCTATTTTCCTCTCTCAGAGGATAGCAGTTTTGCTTCCCGCTGCTTTTTCCCCCTACACCCTACCAAGTGCCACTCGACTCCTCTGGTTTTGTCCTTGTCACACTTTCAAATAAAACATTATTTAATTTAATATGATGGTTTTTGTGTTCAATGGCTGTCTGATTTTTTTGTTAAAGTAAATTTAGATCTTTGTTCCATTAATACTGGGTAAAAAATAATATCAAAATTAGCAATGAAGTAAGACTCGTCGCCATTACTCCTCATGATGTAATAAGGACCTTTCCGAGGTGTACATCGCTTCCCACCAATGACAGCTTGCATACATTCCAGGATGTCTACAATATATATGTCTCCAGTAATTTAAATGAATGGACCGATGGATGAGAGGAGGAGAACTTTCCAGAAAAGAAACATCTGCATTAACAACTTCATGCAACGAACATTTTCAATCAATCATGGCAACTTTTATGGTTGCATGCCACTGTATTTCAGAAGGCTGTGTGAGGCCCAGTCATGCCTACTGATGATGGATGAGGTGAAGAATGCAGGAAAAAGACATCTCTCCAAAATGAGGGTTTGTTTTTGGCAACAATAGCAAACTGGCAGTCATGCTGTTTGATGTGATTTACCGTAATGCAAAAAGAATATGAGGATATTAAACAGAAAAGACCATCGAGTCCCATTCTCTTTCTAACATTTGTTGAATTGGCTCAGCCCAACACATCTGTTTGTGATATACAGAGCTATGCTGTTTTATCTGTTTTGGACACATGCTGTAGACATAGAAATGGTCCCTTATATAACTTGTGATCTTCTCTGTATATTTCTATTTAATCTACAAAATGATGCACAAAACTGTTAGGTTTTCAAGTTCTTGGCATAAAGAGAACAGATAAAATATCTGGTAATTTGAGTATTTTTCTAATTCAAAGAAAATAGCTAAACCAGATGTTTTTTTCCTGTGTTTTCTGACTCTTTTTCTGGTCTCTTGTGTCCTTGCAGTTGTGTTGCAGTTCAATGCGCCCAGGGTCATTGCTCTGCATTGGCTCTAACCTCAGTCTCCAGCCAAGCATTTCAGAACAGGGATTTAATTCTAATGTGGTTATATCTGTGGATGGGCGAAGCAAAAAGCTTCTTTACGACTTTTCCTGAATTCTCATGCTTTATTAAATCCCTGATAATTTACTGAGGTAACTTGTTCAGTTTAAGAGCTTTGTTACATTTTAATTTGTTGTCCTTGTATCACATAGGCCCTTCATGAAGAGTTTTAATTCCCTGAAACAATACAATGCCAGTACACATGTTTATACAGCAAGTCACACAGAATGGGTCCATGGAACACTCAACGGCAACATGTTGCCTCAATCTTTACCAGATTGTTTGTGCTCGCATCTAAATTCCTTTTCTTATTTAATTTCAAGCTGTTATTAGATGAGAACATCTGTCTTGTTTTGGCTCCATCCATCTGGAGCCTGGCCTACTTGTAGTTATTGTGCTCAAAGAATTAGAAATACAGGTGTTCAGGAAGAGAGCCTTTAAAGGAGGGAAATTGACGGCAGCAGTGATCAAATACACCAGGATGCTGGCCACTGTGTTGTAAAAATGACGTGCCTGGTAATAACAAGATAGATAAGGTGTCTTTTCAATCACCAGCACAGATTCAACGTCAATGCAGAAGTTTAAAAAAAAAGCTGTAAAAGTAACCTCTGGCCAGTGTAAAGAACAGATGTCCAGAGAACATTTTCTCCCAGTTGGAAAATCATTGTTCTTATTGACAAGTTTTATTCATATATCACTGAAAACGTCTGCTTTAAAAAAATCCTAAAAGTGACTTCCAAAGCTGAAATTATTAGAAATGTCTCTGAAATGGAAACCTTGTTAGCAAAGTGTGATCTGTGATCTAGGTTACAAAACAACATCAACAACATGTAATTATGTAATTTTCTTGTTGATAGAGGTTATGCAGGGTTTACTATAAGATTTTTAACTTTTTAGAGCAGTGCAACAACTCTGAAAAGCTCTGGCTCTGTTGCTGGACAGTCCACTTCCATGAACACAAGAGACAAATTAAAAACACATGTTTTTATTATAATTTATTTATTTATTATTTTATCCACATGTTCATTTTTAAATGATGAGGTATGAGTGCAAAATCTTTAATCTCTCTAGTTACTCTTATTTTGTCAATTCAGTCATTTTCGGTGTGCCTTCCATCGTCCTTTTTTTAACATCTTGTAAACATTATTATTATTCAAGCAACCTACCACTTTACCACTATGATTTAATTTCCATGTAAACAAAACAAAAATTTAATGCACAAAGATTGGGTCGGATGGTTGAAAATACCATCTTGGGGGTAATTGAACCTGCTTCAAATTAGCTGAAGGCAAAGGGAAAAAAGCAGGACTAACAACAAAGAAAAAAGAAGAACCTCCTTTCTAAAACAATCCTGATACTCTAATCAAATTTTAGTCTAGCTGGACTGACTAGAACACCACCTCTAAAATGAGTCATATTTTGACTGGTGAAACAGGCCGAGCTCCAAGAAGGAACCCATGAAAACATAAACTGACAAAGACCTAAAGTCTAAAAGCTTGCTGCTCTGCATGCGTGTGAGGCTGGCAAACTGACCAATGCCACGTTTCAGTTGCCATGGACACAGGAACCCTATTTTTTTACCTTCTTCTCTGATCACACAATAATCAGAAGTGTTTACTCCTCGGTTGAGCCAATTTTACACACACACACATACACACACATGCACACACACTCACACACACATACAGTAACAATTATGTAGTTTTGATGGATTACAGAGCAGCGCTATTTCACATGTATAAGCTTCTATTCAAGTAGATGAAACATAGCTTATGACATGTCTTTCAACCCTCAAGTTCCGCAAATGAGTTACTGTTTTGACTTCTTCTGGTATCCTTTAAGTTGATATATCACCACCATGAAGCTGAAAATCTGACAGTTTCTGTCTCATCCTCAAACACAGTGGCCATTGTGTGTTGGGTTTTCAGAGATTTAGTATTCACCTGTGGTTTTCATGCTTGTGTAGCTGTCAATAAGGACTAGAGTTCAAATCCATTCACCGTGTGCATGTTGTAGTCCATTAAATGCCAATGTGCAATAGCAAACCATGTTTCGGATCCACATATGTCAAATGGTTATTTATCATCTTAGTATGTGTGCGTGCAGAGGGCAGAAGATTAAAATTTCAGATTTTTGTGATACAGAAAAGTATTTAAAAGCCAGCATGAGCTCATTACTGACTCTTATATTAGTTATGTGGTATCTCAAACTGAGTGAGTCACTGTATGACCTTACTATTTCTCACTTTTCGGGGGCAATTATCTCTAACTGCCTGTTGTTTGTCATGGAAAACATTGTTGCCTTGCTTTTCCACCTGAACTGCGCAGTATTAGAATGCATTATTCTTCACACCCTCAAATTCTTTAAGTCATTCTCACCTTTTTATCAGTTACAGGGTGACAAAACGGCAGCAGGGAGTGATTTACCACCGAGCCACTAAATTGTCCCCTCCGGCTCTGCCGTCCAATTAATGAGAATTCAATTCAGGGGTATTTCTCCTATAAGAGATTATGCAGTCAGGCAGAAGCCATCAGTCCAACACCTTGGGGGTTCTTTACTCAGGAAGACATGTGTTGTCAAAACATTCCTACCTCCAGCTACTCTGCTTCACAATCTGATAAGCCTACTGCTTATCAGATTGTGATCTACCTACTACAGACTACAGCAGATATTTTATTACAGACATTATGCCTGCTCAAGACTAAAGGTTTCGGAAACATCCATACTCCATAGTCAAATTCTTAAAATATGACAGCCTTGTCCAAAAATTATCTTTGTCTATGTACTTACATTCTGGTTAAGTCATCTATCCAGGGGCAGGGATTGCCTCGAGAGTAAAACTATTACATTTACATAAGTTGTGTTAGTAATTACCACAACACTATGAGCACTTTTTCCCTTGACATTTGGTAATCATGTATGTTACTGTGCTGCAGATCTATCTGCAGGTGCATCGTGGCCTCAGTGTGTTTGAAAATTGACGTCTTAAAGCTGTTTTCACGAGGCTGCTGGGAAGAATGACTTATCGTGTCTGAATGCTTCTTGCATGGCTCTTGGCTGCCTCCTTCATTCAGTTTTGTCCTCCTCTCAGACAATTCAGGATGGGTGTAGTCTGGATGAGGAGTGGGCGAGAGGCGAGTGGCTGCCTTGCTGGAGAAGAACTGCGCCAGCAGAACAAGGAGCCTGGCAGCCTTGAGCTGTCCACCCACTCCAGATCTGCTTCTCTGTGATTAGCCTGCAGCCTCAGGCCCCTAATACCTCTATTCAGCTCCTGCTGATTCTCAGGTGTAAGTTGGATTTACATGCGGCATTTCTGTATGCTATCTCCACTAGTTATAGGTAATGTACTGATTCTATCAAATTTGGCAGTATCCACGCAGGGCAACAGGCTGGTTAAGGGATGGTCATCTTAGTTTGTTTTGTCTCGGGTTGATGATATGTTAGAGGCTCTAAACTAAGCATAAGCTTGGTGGATTTCCTCTCCTTGTGAATAAATCTTTTATGCCCGAGGCTCAGCACTTCTTTTCTTAGCAATAACACAAAATTCCTCTAAATATAATAGATGACACAAAGAGAATCCTGTGATTAAATTATCATTTGTCTCTTTACACTTTAACTCGCATAAAATGTTTTAGTGCATAAATATGGCTTTGATAAAGAATATGTCAGTTTGTCGCTTGCTTTTGGCTTTGTTTTTGTTTTCAATAGAGAGTGAAGCTGGCGTATCCATGGCTGTACAAAAGAGAGGAAGAAAAAAAAAAGAAAGGAAAGCTTTATGAGAAACAGACAGTGCTGATGTGATGAAAAGTGACATACAGGGCAACGCTCCATCCCTGTGTTGGAACATGCCTGGATGATCCACAGACAGTTTGTTTGGCTAAATTTCTGCTGCCTGTTAATGTGCAAATTACTGCAGAATCCTCAAAGGTACTGGGCAGAACAGGAAAATCTCAGAAAACAAGGTGGCGTGAACAGCAGCAGC